AAAAAAAAAAAGTGAACCTAACACCGTGTCAGGAGCAAGTGAGAGTGTGAGCATTATTCCATCTCTTGGGGGTCCAAACCAACCATCAAGAAAATATAAATTTGCAGCCAAAACCAAGCCCATCACCAGTGAGTCGAATCTGGTAGGTGAAGGGGAGGAGTTGGGAGGCTCTGGTTAACTCTTCACTGGTAGCGGAAAGGTCTGTGATTTGATTCTATCAGCTGCCTCACAGAACAAACACGTAGCAGTCTGCTTTCATAAAGGTTACATCCTTGGGAGCCCTTTGGGACAGTTCTACTCTGTTCTATGGAGTCATTATGAGTTGGAAAGGACTCAGTGACAATGGGTTTGTTTTGTTTTGTTGGTTTGCTCTGAAACTACTAAGATGACTGTTCAAAACACCTAGACCAACTCAAAGGAGTCAATGAGAAAAGTGTTTCAACATAAAATGCATTATCACAGGAGTGAGCAAAGCGTACTTTCTGTTAGGAAAATACCTACTACAACTACAGTGACTTAAAAGCTTGGCCTCACCACTGACCAGAGAATCACAAATGGCATCAAATTCTTACCATACTGTCAAATAATAAAAAATCATTTTTTCCTAGGAACACCATGTTGACAATCGTAGTGATTCTCTTTGCTACGGTATTTCCTCAGCTTGGCATAAGAAGGGACAATATGAATTTCATGGATGAAAACTTACAATGTTTGGTGCTGGCAATAATACAGTGTCAACCTCATCGACTGCTGAAGATGCAGAGAGAATCGTCTTTCTTGGGTGTTCATATAGGTCAGATACTATATACTTAGTTCTAAGGATACAACTGTGCAACAGGAAGACGCCATCTCTGTCTGACTTGTCACTTAGCACTAGCTTAGATTGGAACATTAACAAGGTCTTAGTTGTGATGCGGCTGCTACACGGAAAAATGCAAGAAAAATGCACATAAGCTGGGTTAAAAGCAGTCATCAAGGGGACTCTGACACAGGCTGACTCCACGTGTCTGAGCAGAACTGGGCTCCAGAGGGATTTTTTTTTTTTTTTTCACACTACAATAGGTAATTTTATTTCTCAAGGGCTCATATTGCAAATGTTAAGCCAAAATCATGTGGGCCCAAATTCACTTATTTGGGAAAGGAAAAGCAGACTGTTTGTTATCCATGTACATGGATAATAAGTAAAGCTCATACTAATCACATTGTGGTTTGAACATTTCTACAGCATAGAACTCAAACGTCACAGGTCTTTTAGATCCTTCTGGATGCCCCAGAGTATCTGCACTCTTCTTGACTTGAGCAACCTCAAGCTTCTACTTGCTAACACTGGTTAATCCTTGAGCATTCAGAAGGCATGGAAGGTTCAGGAAGACTTCATTCACAATGCCATACATTGTGGACACTGTATGTGTCCACATGTGGACTCAATGCCCTTCACCATTGTGGACACTGGATGAATCCTGCATAGATTTTTTTTTTTTTCCCTTTCTAATGAGTTGCTTTAATTTCAGGTGGTACAGAATTCTGGGCATAACAAAGATTGAAGAGCAGCTCTGGCTGGATTCTGGCCTGGGTTTACTGACCACACAGCTAAGACAGGATGACAGAGATGGACTGCTTCTTCTTCTTTTACTTTTTGAAAGTTTATTCTTAAATGTACAACAGGCTCCAAGACAACACTTCAGTCTAACTATAGGTGACAAGAGATGTTCTAGCAGGGAATTCAAATGTTTAAACAGAAATGCAATCAAGGGTCACCATCGCCACAGCCACAAAAAACAGCTTCTTTTTTGCCTGATTTCTTAATTCCACCTGTGGCCAGGGGGCCCTTCCCCACAGCCTTCACTTTTAGCTCTTCAAATTTCTTCTGCTCTTCTTTTTGTTTCTGCTTGAAAGCCTTATCTTCCTCGTCCATTTCCTTGTTCTATTTTTTGGGTTGTTTCAGGGGCTTCTCCTTGCCTTTCTGCTCCTGTGAAGATTTAAAGACTTGGAACCCCTAGATAGGGTTGCTATGAGTTGGAACCAACTCAAAGGCACTTAACAACAACATAGTTTATATACTATATATATAATGTGTGTATACATATATACGTGTGTACACATGTATGTGTGTATATATATATGTGTGTGTATATATAATTGTGCGCAAACATATATGTGTGTATACACGTGTGTATATAATGTGTGTGTAACATATGCGCGCAAACACATATATGTATATAATATGTGTGAACATGTGTGTATGCATATATGTGTATGCATACACATGTGTGTGCATATGTGTGTAAACATGTGTGCATATGTGTGTGTAGACATATATGTGTGAGTCTACATATGTGTGTGTGTGTAGTATATGAAGGGAGCATGGATGTTCCAGACGGTAACAAC